AAATAAATAAATAAATAAATAAATAAATAAATAAATAAATAAATAAATAAATAAATAAATAAATAAATAAATGTTATTTATTAACAACAAACAAAACATTAAAAACAATTCGTACTCAAAGAATCGCCAATGTCCCTGCTGCAGCAGCAGCAGCAACAGCAGCAACAGCAGCAGCAGCAACAGCAGCAGGTGCTGCTGCTGCTACTGCTAGTGCTAGTGCTGCTGCTAGTGCTGCTGCTAGTGCTGCTGCTAGTGCTGCTATGCTGCTGCTGTTGCAAATCTGGCTACATTTTATGCAGCTCTGTCTGCTGCAGCAGCGTCACCTGCTGCTGCTGATGCTGCTGGTGTTGCAGCTGTTGCTGCTGCTGCTGCTGCAGCTGATGCTGCTGCAGCTATTGCTGCTGCTGCACAGGTACTTCAGGATGACAGTAAGGAAGCAGCCTGCTGCTGTTGCTGCAGTTGCTGCAGTTGCTGCAGTTGCTGCAGTTGCTGCAGTTGTTGCAGTTGCTTCCTGTCTTTGTGGTATATCCGCTTCGTTGCTGCTCCTAGTTTTGCTGCATCTGCTGCTGCTGTTGCTTCTGCTGCTGCTGCTGCTGCTGCTGCTGCTGCTGCGCTGCACGTCTCCTTAGTCTCCTACGGTGCAGAGGATCAATTTTATAATAAACAAAGACAGAAGGCAGCAGGGAGAGCAGCAGCAGCCCCTTTTGTGCATTTCTTTGCTGCTGCTGCAGCTGCTGCCACCGCTGCTGCAGCTGCTGCTGCTGGTGTTGCTGCTGCAGCGGCCAAGGAAGAGAGGATACTCCTAGCTGCTGCAGCACAGGAGCAACATTTAGCTGCGCCTCGTCTAGGCCTGCTGCAGCAAACAGCAAACAGTACCGACTGTTGCTGCTTCTGCTGCTGCTTCTGCTGCTGCTGCTGCTGCTGCTGCTGATGGCAGGGATTGCATGCGGTGGGGTTGTTGTTATTAAAAAGTTAAAAGAAGAAGAAGCAAATGCATCATTTAAATCATCTACTATTTGCTGCTGCTGCTGCTGCTGCTGCTGCTGCTGCTGCTGCTGCTGCTGCTGCTGCTGCTGCTCTTGCTGCAGCTGCTGCTGCTGCACCAAACATTGCGAAGAAAGAGGCCAAGAAAAGGGAGAAGCACCAGCAGCAGCAGCATCTGCTGCTATATATATCTTGCAATCCCTCTGCTGCTGCTGCTGCTGTTGCTGCTGCTGCTGCTGTTGCTGCTGCTGCTGTCTTGAATTAGCAGCAGCAGCAGCTAAGAAATAATGCGAATGAGTACCTAGCAGCTCGCGAGTGCAGAGAGCAGCACCGAGGGCATCTAGCTGCTGCTGCTGCTGCTGTTGCTGCTGCTGTTGCTGCTGCTGCTGCTGCATCTCTACAGACAGCAGAGGGTGTAGGGGCTGTAGGAGTTCGTCAAGTGTGCCAACAGGTACAGCAGCAGCAGCACTAGCAGCAGCAGCTGCTGCTGCCGATCTTGGTGCAGCAGCAGCAGCAGCAATTAAGGGATTATATACAGCAGCAGCAGCAAGAGGCAACTCTCCTTCGTTGTCTGGGTATAAGGAACTCTCATAGAGACGATGGAAGGCAGCAGCAACTGTTGCTGTCCTTATTCTCCCTGCTGCTGCTGCTGCTGCTGCTGCTGCTGCTGCTGTTGCTGCTGCTGCTGCTGCTGGTTGGTTGGGGGGTAGCTGCTGCGTGCTGTGCAGCAGCAGCAGCCGCTCTAGTGCATGCACTAGCTGCCCTCCTGGTGCGAAGTAAGCAGCAGCAGCAAGCTTGATGAGTGCAACAGCAACAGCAGCAGCAAATAATATTAATACAATTGCTGCTACTGTTGCTGCTCTTGCTGCTCTCCTTGTTAGCAGCTGCTGCGCCATCTCTGACTGCAGCGCAGCAACACGACGCAGCAGCAAAAGTGTGGGGCTTTTCTTGAGTGTTGCTTCTATACATACAAAAGAGGAGCGACGTAGCTCTCTTGCTGCTGCTGCTGCTGCTGCTGTTGCTGCTGCTGCTGCACCACCTGATGGTAAACGTGCAGATACAGCACGCAGCAATTGCATAGGACGGCTGCTGCTGCTGCGCCGGCTGCTGCTGCTGCTAGTAGATGCCATCAAGTCCTGCTGCTGCTGCTGCTGCTGCTCTAGTACGTCACGTAACGCAGGAGATACATCGTCCAAGTTAGACAAGTTTGCTGCTGCTGCTGCTGCTGCTGCTGCAGCTGCTGCTGCTGCTGATGCAGCAGCATCAGAGTCAGAGTTAGGGGTAACAGTAGGAAAGATCTGCTGCAGCAAAGCTGCTCCTGTTGCTGCTCCGCATGCAGCAACAACTAGGCAGAAAGGTAGCAGCAGCAGCAGCAGTGCATCCTCCTGCTGCAGTTGCAGCAGCTGCTGTGGCTGCAGCGGCAGCTGCTGCTGCTGCTGCTGCCTCGTCAGCAGCAAACAAACAGCAACACCTAACCAAGGGAGGCCGAGGTCTAAGCAAAGGAACCAAGGAACAAGACCATCATCCCTGTTGCTGCACTCCTTGCTGCTGCTGCTGCTGCTGCTGCTGCTAATGATGCTACTGCTGCTGCTCTTGCTCTTGCTGCTGCTATTGCTGCTGCTGCTGCTGCTGCTGCTGCTGCTGGCTGGTGTTATAGGGGCTACGTTTAAGAATCCCCAACGAAGACGTTTGCTTACGGGAGGTTTTGCTGCTGCAGATGACCGCAGACTGCTCGTTATGCTGCTGCCGCTGCTGCTGCTGCTGCTGCTGTTGCTGCTGCTGCTGTTGCTGCTGCTGTTGCTGCTGCTGCTAGGGCTGCTGCTGCTGCTGCTGTTGTCGACATTACAGCTGCTGGTGCTGTCGATGTTGCTGCTGCCGCTGTCTTCGACGCTGTTGCTGCTGTCGCTGCTGCTGCTGCTGCTGTCGCTGCTGCTGCTACTGTCGCTGCTGCTGCTGCTGTCGCCGTCGCTGCTGCTGCTGTCGTTGCTGCCGCCGTTGGTGTTGCTAGTGTTGGTTTTGCTGCTGCTGCTGGTTTTGCTGGTGCTGAGCTCTATAGAAGCCACGGTCTGCTGCTTCCGCCTGCTGCAGCTGCTGCATGCAGCCTTGCGAGCTGCTGCTAGGCTGCTGCTTATGCGTTCCCGCTGCTGCAGGTTGCGTATCAGCAGCAGCAGCAGCAGCACCAACGGCAGCAGCAGCAGCAGCCCGTAAGCAGCAAACAGCATGCCACCAGGCAGCAACAAAATAATATCGTGTAGACTCTTTGCTGCAGCAGGAGCAGCAGCTCGCCGCTGCCACAGCAGCAGCTGCCCGTTGCTACTGCTGCTGCTGCTGCTGCTGCTGCTGAGGGGAGCGTTCGATGCGGTGGACGCCCAGCTAGAAGCAGCTGCGTCCTCTCGCGAAGGCAGCAGCAGCAACTGCTGCAGCAGCTGCTGCAGCGCCAGCAGCAAAGATCCCATGGCTTGCTGCAGCCGCTGCAGCAATGAGGTGCACATACACCCCAATTGCTGCTGCAGAGGCAGCAAACCGCTTACAGCAACTGTTTCTATAGCAGCAGCAGCAGCAGCACCCAGCAGCAAACCTGCTGCTGCTGCTCCAAGCAGCAGCAGGAACGCCCGCCGCAGCCGAACTTGCCGCTCACGTTTGCTGCACTTGCTGCAGCTTCTGCTGCTGTTGCTGCTGCATGCGGTGCTGCCAGTATCGCTACTCTTGCTGTTGCTGTTGCTACTGTTGCTGCTGCTGTTGTTGCTGTCTCCGGTGCCAGTATTGCTGCTGCTGCAGTTGCTGCTGCACTTTTCGCAGCTGCTACTGGAGTATTTGCAGCAGCTGCTGCAGCCTTCGCTGCCGCTGCTGCTGCTGCTGCTGCAGTCTTTGCAGCAGCTGCTGCAGTGTTTGCTGCTGCTGCTGCAGTTGATTTTGTCATGAAAATCTGCAATCCCCCAAGCAAAGTGCAGCAGCAGCGGCAGCAGCGCCAGCAGCAAAGAGGCATCAGCAGCAGCAGCAGCAGCAAATGCCCAACAGACCATGCTGCCAACAGCATACCTGCGGTAACCAACAGCAGCAAGAGCAGCAGCAGCAGCAGCAGCAGCAGCAGCAGGAGTGCTGCTGTTGCTGTTGCTCTTGCTGCTGCTGCTGTTGCTGTTGCCTTTCGTGCATTCGTCCTCGTCGTTGTTGCTGCTGTTGCTGCTGTCGTCGTCGTCGCTACTGTTGCTGCTGCTGTTGCTGCTGTTGCTGCTGCTGCTGCTGCCTGTTGTCTGCAATGCTGTGTCGGACTCCTCTTCCTCGATGTCTGTGAGTCTCTTCTTGCTGCACTTGCTGCTGCTGCTGCTGCGTCTGCTGCTCTTGCTGCTGATGCTGTTTTTCTTCTCTCTTGCTGCAGCAGCTCTGCTGCTGTATTTGTATTTAAGTGCCAATGCATGCATGCAGCATGCAGCAGCCGCTGCTGCTGCTGCTGCAGCAACAGAAGGAGTAGCTGATGTCCGCAGTAGCAAGGGGGAGACACTTAGTGCAGCAGCAGCAAAGCAGCAGCAGAAGCAGCAGCAAAAGAAATATAATCGCCATCGTCTAGCAGCAGCAGCACGATAACGTTTTCTATGTTTTGCTGCTGCATGCAGCTTCCTCTCTAGATGAGAATGCATGCGCCTGCTGCTGCTGCTGCTGCTGCTGCTGCTGCTGCTGTCATCGTCATCGCTGTCGCTTGATTCACTACTGCTGCTGCTGCTGCTGCTGCTGCTGCTGGCTCCCCATCGATGGCCACGATGCCTGTGTTGCTTGCGTGCAGACTTTGCTGCTGCTGCTGCTGCTGCTACTTCGTCTTCCTTGGCTTCTGCTGCTGCTGATGCAGCAGCAGCACCTGCCCTCCTAACAGCAATATAAGCAGCAAACAGCAGCAGCAGCAGCAAGCAGCGGATAGCTAACAGGTAGCTAAGACCGCCAGGTATATCTGCAACAAGACGTACTTTGCTGCTGCTGCTGCTGCTGCTGCTGCTTCTGCTGCGGGGACCAGGTGCAGCAAAGGAGACACGCAGCAGCAAACCAGGCAGCAAATTAAATAACTTCTGCAGCCTGCTGTGGGGTGCAGGCAGCAGCAGCGGCCGCAAGTTAGGCAGCAGCAGCAAGCCCCGTGGCAGCAGCAAGGGTCTGCGTATAGGGCATGCATGCATGTGCTGCAGCAGCAGCTGCTGCAGCATAGATCCTGCTGTAGCTCTTATTTTAGCTATTACTGCTGCTGCTGCTGTTGCTGCTTCTGTTGCTGCATTCATCAATACAGCAGCAAGACGGGTAGCACGCGATGCTGCTGCTGCTGCTGCACCGCTGCTGAACTGCAGCACATCTAATGCAGCAGCAGCAGCTGCTGCTGCTGGCAGGCGGCCGCTGCTGCAGCTGCTGCACCTCCATACAAAGGTAGATGTAGCAGGTGCTGCTGCTGCTGCTGCTGCTGCAGACCCCTCCCCCCTATGCGCCTCATGGTATCCTTCTTGCCTCTGCCAATCCTGCTGCTGCTGCTGCTGCAGCAAGTGATGCTGCTGCTGCTGTTGCTGCTGCTGCAGAGCAGCAGGGGAGAGGCAGCTAAATAGACAACTTAATTCTGCTGCTGCTGTGCTTCCTGCGGGAAAGGGAGCAGCAAATAGAGCAGCAAGCAGCAGCGCAGCAACAGCAACATCGAGCAGCAGCAGCAGCAGAAACCCCACAATGGGCCCCACACTTCGCCGCTTTGCTGCTGCTGCTGCTGCTGCGCTCTTCTTGACCATCATTGCTGCAGCTACATCTTCCTCTTGCTGCTGCTGCTGCTGCTGCTACTCCTACTGCTACCGCTGCTGCCGCCGCTACTGCTGCTGCTGCTGCTGCTGCAAATACTACAGCTGTTGCTGTGGCTGCTGTTCTTGTGCTATCGCAGCTGCTGCTTCGGTTGCTGCTGCTGCTGTTGCTGCTGCTTCTTCTGCTGCTGCTGCTGATTATATGGGAGATATGTTCATTGAAGGATTAAGGCTTGCTGCCTTGGTCTTGTTGCTGCTGCTGCTGCTGCTGCTGCTGACGCTGCCTCTTACAAATAAATGCAACGAGCACAAGACCGAGCAAGGGAGGCAGCAGCAATAGCACGAGCTGCTGCTGCTCTTGCCGTTGCTGCTGCTGCTAAGTAGTAATGATGCTGTTCCTTCAGCTGCTGCTGCTGCTGCTGCAGATGTTAATAATGCTGCTGCTACTTGAAATGCTGCTCTTACCTGCGTACCTGCTGCTGCTGCTGTTGCTGCAACTGCTGCTGCAACTGCTGCTGCTCGTGATGCTGCTGATGTCTTTGCCGCTGCAGCGGCTTCTGCTGCTGCTGTTGTTGTTGCTCCTGCTGCTGCTGCAACAACCTGTACTTCTTTCTATCAAAAATATATTTGTTGTGTCTCCCTGCAGCAGCAGCAGCAACGCTTGTCTTGTTGTTGCCCGCGAGCGGCAGCAAGGCCTGCATGCGACCGCGCCGCCGCCGCTGCTGCTGCAGTTGCTGCAGCAGCAGCAGCAGCAGCAGCAGCAGCGACAAACGCAGGGTGGTAGCAGACAAATTATGTTTTTTTGAGTCCCTTTTGCAGCAATTTTTCTGTGTCTGCTGCAGCTGCAGCTGCAGCTGCAGCAGCAATAGCAGCAGAAGACAACAGCCGTTCCGCAGGTGAGGCCCCCAGCTGCTGCAGCAGCGGGACAAAAGCAGCAGAAGAAGCAGCAGCCGCAGCAACAGAAGCAGGAACAGCTCCTTCTACTGCTTCTGCTGCTGCTGTCTGTTGCAGGAAGATATCGAGAAGAATGGGTCGAGCAGCAGCACCAGCAGCAAAACTTTAAGAGCAGCAGCAGCAGCAGCAGCAGCAGCAGCAGCACACTGCTGTAGGGTATTGTTGTTAGCCACTGGTGGGCTGTTGTAACCTTTAGAGGTTCTGCTGCTGCTGCTGCTGCAGCTGTGCTGCTGCTGTTCTGCTGTTGCTGCTGCTGGTGTCTTCTCTGTTGCTGCAATGGTTCTCAAGGAAGAAGCATCGAGGTATAGCATCAACCGCCACTGCGGTGCAACAGCAGCAGCAGCAACAGCAGCAGCCTCAGCAGAGCTAGCAGCAACAGCAGCAACAACAGCAACAGCAGCTGATGCTGCTGTTGCTGCATGCAACAATAGCAGTTGCTGCTGCTGCTGCTGCGGCGCCTGCCAGTTTCCCCCGCGAGACTATTTCTGCTCTGCTGCTGAAGCAGCACGCCGCAGCAGCAGCAGCAACAGCAGCAGCAGCAGCAGCAGACTCAGCCCTCTTGAGGCGCCTCCCCGTCGTTGCCTAACACAGCAGTATACTCGTTGCTCATACAAATGCAGCAACAGCAGCAGCAACAGCAGCAAGGGACATCAGCAGCAACAGCAGCAGCAGCAGCAGCAGCAGGATTTGCTGCCTGTGCATGCATTAAAAGAATTAAGTGGTTATTTGCTGTTTAATTTGCTGCCTTCTCTTGTCTTCCCTTTCTGCACATCAGACGCCAAACCCTGCTGCTGCCAGCTCAGCAGCAGCAGCAGCAGCAGCAGCAGCAGCAGCAGCAGCAACAGCAGCACGTGCGATTGTACTGTGCTGCTGCTGCAGCAGCGCAATGGATTTTCTTTCATCTCTGACCGTCTGAGGAGCCAGAGACAAGGACTGCTGCTGCACATGCAGCAGCAGCAGCAGCAACAGCAGCGGCAACCGCAGCAGCAGCAACAGCAGCAGCAGCAGCAGCAGCAGCAGCTAACCTCTGCTGCTCTATTCTGTCAACTTCTCCGCAGCATTCGCTTTTTGCTCTTCGCGGAGATCTTTTGGGGAGGACGTCTATACTATACACAGGATACAACTTGCTGCTGCTGCTGCTGCTGCAGCTGCTGCTGTTGCTGCAGTTGCTGCAGCAAATGTAGCAGATGCGGGAAGGCAGCACAACCACAGCAGCAGCAGCAGCAGCAGCAATATGAATCTTTTGCGTCGCTAGCCGCCAAATGTACCACTGCAGAAAGTGCATGCAGCAGCTGCAGCAGCAAGTGCAGCAGCAGCAGCAACAGCAGCAGCAGCAACAGCAGCAGCAACAGCAGCAGCAGAGAGGCAAAGGAAGAGGCAGCACGAAGGGCTGCTATCTTTTCTCCTAGTCTTAATCGTCTGCTGCTTGGAGGTGCCTTCTCCTTCGCGCTGCAGCTGCTGCAGCAAGCAGCAGATGCTGCAGCGCAGCAGCGGAAGCAGCAGCAGCAGCAGCAGCAGCAGGAAGGGGAACAGAGGGAGCAGCACTTTGCTGCTCTGCTGCAGCAGCTGCAGACAACTGCAGCAACAATAGATGAGCTGCTTGCTCAGCTTATGTTATACGAGCTGCTGCTGTCGCCGCTGCAGCAGCAGCAGCAGCAGCAGCAAGTGTTCCTGCTGCAGCGGCTGCTGCTGCTGGTAGGGAGAGACGGCTGGCAGCAACTGCAACTCTGCCGCACCTCAATGCGCATCATGGCTGAGGGTACGCTGCTGCTGCTGCTGCTGCTGTATTTGTTGTTGCTGCTGCTGCTGTATTTGTTGTTGTTGTTGCTGCTGCTGTATTTGCTGCTACTGCTCAACGGGTATCTTTTCTGTTAGTTTGTTTGCTGCATTGCTGCTGCTGCTGCTGCTGTATGTGTTGCTGCTGCTGCTGCTGTTGTTGCTACTGTTGCTGCTGCAGCTGCTGCAGGTAACATTGTACGCGTA